CTTAAGGCCCTTTCCAACACTAACTATTCTATGATTCTAAGTTTTCTCAGCAGTTCTTTATCCATCCATGGAGGCCTCCTGCCCTTCTTACCCCATTTCCTTTTTGACAGGACACAATGCTCCTGAGCCTGGAGCAAGTGATCCTTAAATATCAACCAGTATTCCTGCCCTCCCCCCCCCCCCCCCGCCCTCTAGGGCTTTATCACATGGAACCTTCCTAAGCAGGTTCCTGAAGAAGCCAAAGTCTGCTCTCTTGAAGTCCAGGGCAGTGAGCTTGCTGCATGCTCTTCTCACTCTCCTGAGGAACTTGACCTCGACCATCTCATGATCACTACAGCCAAGGCTGCCTTGGAGCATCACATTCCCCACCAGCCCCTCCATGTTGGTGAGCACAAGGTCAAGCATGGCACCTTTCCTTGTCAGCTCCTCTATTACTTGCAGAAGGAAGTTGTCTTTCACACAATCGAGGAACCTCCTGGATTGCTTGTGCCAAGCCATACCGTCCCTCCAACAGATACTGTTGTGGTTGAAGTCCCCCCCCATGAGGACAAGGGCCTGCAAGTCTGAAGTAGCTCTGCATTGCTCCAACCATTCATTACAGGTGCTGGCATCTGACTGGGAGCGTTGGGATGGATTGATGCCCCCCTCCACCGATACATCTAGTATAAAGCTGCCTTGACCAGCCTGGCAAGTCTCCTACGGAAGCAGCTCTTCCCCTTTTTTCAGACCAGCCCCACCAGTCTCCAGTAGACCTGGCCTCCCAAATAAGAGTCCCATGTTCTAAATAACCAAACCCCTGACTATGGCACCATCATTCTAACCATTTATTAACCTGCCAAATCTGCCTGGCCTTTTCAAGGTTCTCCCCTTTGACCTGGAGGATCAATGAAAAAACTGAGCCCCTAACCACCTTTCCCAGGGCTCTGAAGTCCTTCTTAATGCTTTCCAGGCTACTGCTGTCAATATCACTAGCACCCACATGGACCACTAGAAGTAGGCAATAGTCAGTAGGACTTACCAGACCAGGCAGCCTCTCAGCAATATCCCTGATCAGGACCCCCAGTAGGCAATACACCTCCCTTGAAATTGGGTTAGATCAACAGATGGGTACCTCTGTACCTTTCAAGGCGGAGTCACCTACTACTATGACCCACCACTTTTTTCCAGATGCACTAGTAATAATCCTCTTTACTGGTGTGGCAGCTGATTGTTCATTTGTTGTGGTGGGTGTTGCCTCATTAGCCCCTTGCAGAGCTGTTATGTGGTTCTGGGTGGGGATGTCAGGTTTTGGAGGAAGCCCCTTGCTTTTGATTGTCTTCTTCCTCTCTCTATTTTTTTGTTTTGTTTTGTTTACAAGCTCCCAACCTCCTGGATTAATGCCCTCCTTTTCTTTATGTGCTATGGTGGATGCTTGTGGCCCCTGCACAGTTTGGGCCTGAAGCAAGCAGTCCAGCTCCCTCTCAGCTTCCCTGCTATCTTAGTCTATTGACAGTCTCCTGCAGCTCAGCCACCTGGTACAGGAGGTCCTCTATCGGGGTACACCAAGTGCAGCCCTGTCTGTTATTCACTCTTGCCTCAAGAGACAAGTTGAGGCACTTTCTACACTGAGGTCTGCACTGCAGCCAGGGTAGCCAGTGCAGAGCTCCCAGACTGAGACTGGGCCCTGGCCCTAAGGCAAGTTCTCACCATCTTGCTCACCTGCCTGCCCACCCTGCCACGCCACAGCCTGTTTACTCGCTCTGTTCATTATGCTCCCCAGCCGGTGTTTTATCCGCTCAGGGCTGTGCCTCCCGGCACCGCCCCCTCTGATTCAGCTGCTTGCATCAGCAGAACTGCTGGCTCCTGGGCAAGTCCTATAGAGGACTTGAGGCTCTCTTAGTGGCTCTTGCTGTTCAGGATTGAGACTCCTGGATGCTGAGTTTTCCCCACGCTTCAGTGCTGAAGTCATCCTCTCTGGAGCTACTCACCTCGGAGAATAACAAATGAAAAATCGACTCCTCACAACTGTTCTTGGCAATCCATGGAAAGATCATCCTGCTGTTGCAAGCCTAAGCTAACACAGGCCCCTCCAATTCAGTTGTTACTACATGGATTTCACTACTGACCCCAGCCTGACAGCACAGTACCTCCTGCCCAATTTTCTTAAGCTGCTCTGCTTTCTAATTCCTGTTATCTTTGTGTCATACTTGACATAACCAGGTCACAAGCTGCAGGGTCACAATTCTAAAGAGCTGTGACCTGGCTCCCATACCTATAGGAGCATCTAATTCTCCTGATCTGCTCCCAGGCAAACAAAAGCTAAGGAAGAACAAGGACACCACCTGGAGACAGTATTTTCTTAGCTGGAATGCAATTATAACATAGGTAGACTACCTCTGTTACCTCCCCAAATTAAAATAATCTTTTTCATATGCTCTTACTTAAGAATGACATCCCTGACATCACACTACCATACTGTCAGTAGGGAATCCATGTATAAAGCTGCACTAAGATTTGGAGTTACAATAGAGACTGAATTTCTGTTATACAGAAAAAGCATTTGGCTATCTGTTTTGGACTGAAAACACCCCTTTAGAAAGGACTGAGGTTTCAAAATGGTTAAGAGCAAGACCTGGGAATATGAAGGAGTTAATTAATTTCCTTTTTAATTGCTACTTTGCAGCCTTTTCCTCCAACTTTGAGAAAAGCTTTGAGCTTTTGGTCCACAGAACTCATAAAATAAACCAACTTTGCTTATTTTATAGGGAAACAAGACAATTCCTAGTATTCTTGCTATAACATTTGCTCAGGGGGAAGCTGAGAGGAGATGAAATCGCTTTCTGAGAAGCAGCTGGCTTAACATATTGTCGTGGTTTAAACCCTAGCCAGACAGCTTGTTCACTCACTCCCAGTGAGTGGTGCTGGGCTGAGAGCAATCGAGGCTCCCCCCCCCCGGGGCTCTCCCCTTCCCTGCTCCCAGAGGAACGGGGAGAAGGATCAAAAGAGTGCAACTCCCACGGGTTGAGACAAGCACAGTCCAGCAACCAATGTACAACACAAGTCACCACTGCTACTACCAACTACAACAATGATAAGAGAAAATAACAAGGGAAGAGAATACAATACCACCCGCCAACAAATGAGTCCGACCCAGAAGCCCGTGTCCTTCCGGGTAACTCCCAGTTACCTCCCTCCCCCCGGGCATGACGTGCTGTGGTATGGAATACCTCTTTGGCTAACCTGGGTCAGGCATCCTGTCTCTGCTTCCTCCTTGCTTCCCCTCCTCCCTGGTAGAGCATGAGCCTCACAAAGTCCTTGGTCAGGGTAAACATCACTTAGCAACAACCGAAAACATCAGTATCGCCAGCACTGTTCCCAGGCTGGAAGTCAAAACACAGCGCTGAACCAGCTACCAAGGAGAAAAATTGACTACTACTGCTAAACCCAGTACACATGTGCAGGGAAAATGTCAGAATTTGATTTCTTTTGCTGACTTACACAGCCATGAGTCCCTTGGTCTGCTTCTCTCCCATCCCTCTGTGCTACTGGGAATCTGCCAAGACACACCTGTGGGAGGTTTGGGCTTTTAAATATGTGCCTTAAATGTCCCAACAGTTCCCTAATGTGTAGAGTTTATTCCTATCAGACCCTTAACCTCAGTTTTCTTAGGAAAAATCACTGCAGGTATCTCCCTTCAGAAGCTGATTATAGAACATGCCTAAGAACTAAAGAGGTTTCCTCACCCCTTGAAAACAGAATGTTCTCCAAAAGATTGAGATTTTTAGATTTGAAATTCTCATTTTTAAGCTGGAATTACAAGCTAATAACAACAGTCATGTCATTAAGTTTGGATGAAAGCTTTTGACCACGGGGAAAGCACATTCCAACACAGTTCAAAATAAAAATCTCAAAGGTCTGAGCCATCAAATCAGGAACACATTTAAATTATAACAAGAAACTTATTTTCTGCACAAAATACAATTTGCTCTTTTCAACAGGCTCCAAGCTGAGAGTAAAGGTGTAACACATGAAGGTAAATATAGCTTATATTTAGGGAATTTCTATGATTTTTATGGATTGCATTGATGAGAAATGCATTTGTACACTCTAAACTGCCAGTAACATTTTTGTTGTGGGACATATTTTGAATAATTCCTTTGCAAAAAGCACAGCCATATTTTTATTAGAAATCGAAAGTCATTCTGGAAGACCCAAGCTAGTATTTTAATAAATAAATTTTAATAAATAAAAGTTCAACATACCAATTCTCCAATTCATCATCCTCCAAGCTAAAATATATCATTCCTCTCTCATTTCAATTGTTAACCATGCTGTCCTCTTAATTATAAACGGTCTGCCACTTATCAAATTATTCTCTGTGTCCTGCACAATCCTCACCCTTAATTGCACAAATTTTTTTTTTCTGGAACAACACAGATCAGCAACAAGTTTTAATTTTTCCTTTCATGACTTAGTCCCTATTACAGTAAAGCATTTGTGAAAGCCCTGTGTGCATTGAGAAAAAATTAGTTGCTCCTCTGTGGCTAAGAGTTTTTAGCTAATCACAATGCATCTCCACATCACTCCAAGCAGGACAGCGATTAAAACTGTCCCTGCAACAAAGCAACACTGTACATGGTGAAGATGTGCTCCGGTCAAAAGTGTCTCCCCTCTTGTTATGACTGGTATTGCCCAGGTGTTTGACTTTGAGCTCTAGCTTGGCAGGCAAGCTTTCATGGCTGCAATTCAAGTCCCAGGCTTGAGCAGCTCCAGTGTTTATTTTCATAATTTACACTTTGTGATGGCTTATGGACAGTTATGTACTTGGTTTCATAGCCACCACTTTAAACCAAGGGCCTGATCCTGCCATTATTGAGTTAGTGGTAAATGCTTCCCAATTCTAGCACTGGAAGGAGGCCTCAAATGAGTAAACTGTGTTTCAAAGCAAACAAATTGATATAAAAGAAGAATTTGGTTTAAAAACAAAAGAGAGAAAAAAAAAGCGCCTGAATCTTACTTACTAGGAAGTCTTCTTCACAGTACACCTTACCATTGACACTGTAGAATGCTTTTCCTCGTAGTCTTCTCCCTGTTAAAATACAGTATTGTCAGGACTTTGTGCTCCATGCCCAAACCCAGTCATTACTCAGAATGCAAAGTAGAAAGCATGCCCTGCTGTGCCTGTCTGCCTAGCCTGACCCCTTTCCTCCCACAGGGTCCATCCAGAGACATGGGTGATCATTTGACTCTTAGTTCCATCCTGCCTTAACAAATTCCTTATCAACTAAATGTTGCTTCTAAGTGGAGGTCACAAAACCCAGCTGATAGCAGTTCGTGGAAAAATTGAAATCTAAACCCAAAAATGACTACTGGGGGGGGGGGGGTAGGGGGTAAGAGGAAAGAGGAAGCTAATTTGTAAATTGAGACCATTTCCTTAGCAGGTGAAATCACAACAGGCATACATCCACTGCAATCAGCATCAGCAAGGGACACTGCAAACAGATCTTCCTGTCCCCTTTACAAATATCAATACATTCAGCAATGCCACAGCAGCTATACCCACAGCTGCCTATATTACTAAAGCAGTACAAGGCACACATGGAGGGAAGGGCAGGAAAATCACACTGAAAACAAGAGATTTCATTTTCAAGCTTAAACATTTGCCATTTCATTAGCACTTTTGGAACTCTATTGACAAAGCCTGTGATCATCATTAACTGATGGCTCTCTTTACAGCTAAGAATGCACAACAGACTCCGGAGAGTCACAACAAAAACGATTAAAACCAGGAATTCAAAAACCACTGAGCCTAAACAGTTCTCCGACAGAATATATCAGATCTGTCTTACACCAGAGCTGCTCCACTGAAAGCATCACCATTTTGTCAGTGAAAACCAGTGAGGGAGAAGGAAAACCACACTCATCCTGACTCACCTTATTTCCACTCTGTGACAGAGTCCCACTGGCCAAAGCTCCCAAACGTTTGGGTGCTCTCACAAGCCATTTGTTTGCAGCCTTGGCAAACAGGGCACAGTGCCTACCATGGGCTGTGTACCTGCTGCTGTTAGCGGTGACACAGAGCAAGGAAGAGGGCAAGAGGCTTTTTATTTACAGGTCAACAAATGAGCCCCCTAGTCACTGCTGAAGCTTTTACTCCACAGAGTAAGCCTGGATGTCTCCTACTGAGGCAGAGTGAGTAGATCCACCATAAACCCTGCTGGTCTTTGCAGAGGGTTTGACTCCAAGGGCCATCGAGCTGAGCCAGCTGGCCGAGCAAAGGACAGGAGTGCTCTCCAGGGTTTCCATAAGCAATGTTGAGGAAAATAAGATTAATTTTCAGTGCTTGAAAGTGCCTTTTACATGTTGACACTGTGATCTGATCCTGGGAAACACTGTGTGGCACAAAAAAGTTGGGATCTGGGTTGATGCTGATGCAGAGTTGACCAATGTACAGGGGTGTTGTACAAGGGTGTTGTACAGGGGGGTTGTACAAGGGGGTTAGAGGAATTTGCTTGCTTAAACAAAAGTATTGTCTGTTGTAAATGCCTAATAAGCAGAACAAAGGCACCTGGTCCTATTGATAAGGAAAAGCAGACACTTGGTCCTATTGATAAGCAGCTATTGATAAGGAAAAGCAGAGGCCTGAATCTACTGATAAGGGGGAAAAGCAGATGGTTTATGGCTGGGATACCGACCAAACCCTAACGCCATATGTGAAGACTAAAAGGTGAAAAGTGCAAGAAGAGGAAGACTCATTTACTTCATCTTGAAGACCCCTACCCACAGGAGGAAGAGTCATTTACTTCATCTTGTAGACCCTTGCCCATGACCAGAGGGGGCACTGAGCAGGTGCAGAGGACCTTCTGGCTCATTATAATATGAAGCAAGGATAGGACATGAATATGTATAGGCGTGTTGTGCAACCTTATGAATATATATAACTTTAGAGAATAAATGTAGAGGGAAACAACACTGAGGCATGCATGACTTTGAGGAATTATCCCCATGCGTCTCAGCGCTGAATGAAAAGCATACCTACTTTACAACTTTAATGAGTTGTGGAGTCAATCCACGCATAAATGCTTTTGGTAAAACACATGCTGCATGTGATTGTCTGGCAGGTTTCCTGTCATGGCCAAGATAAATGCTTCTTTTGTGTGCATATTCTTGGGGTGTTGATCGCACAGGCTGCTGTCTCCATGCTTCTGGTAGGTGGAGTCAGCTTCTTTCTAGCTGCATGGTAGACCTGGTGGGGATCAGGAGCCTGGTGGGATGGGCAATACACTGAGACTGTCCTATCTCTCTTAGGTCAAACTGGTCCATCCTACATGACACACAAACAAGGCATGGGGCTGGGACAGGAATTAGTTGGTCACAGGGCCTCTCTCAACTGATGCAGGAGCAATCACCTCTGGATCTTCCTCCCTGCTTATCCAAGCTGTTATAAACCTCTCCAGTAAAAGGTAAAGGAAAGGTAAACGGAAGGGAATGAAGAAAACGAAAGAGGCCAGAATGGCTTTTTAAAGTTGGCTCTGACCCAGAATTTACACAGCTTGTCTTTAAATGATGGAAGTCAAGTGGCTGCACCCAGAACAGGGACTTGCCTTGGACTGATGCAGCACTTACCCCTTGCTCACACACACCACTAGTGCAGAGCCAGGGCTTTTGCTTCAGGTGGAGAAGCGCTGGCCATCACCCTCACCACACAGCATTATGGTTGGAAGCAGTAGAGATAATTAGGGACAAATCCTGAACTCCGTTGCTGGAGGGATCTCTGCAGGAAAGGAACACCCTAATTCGGGGAGGTGTCAGCATCTCTCAAGGCACTGCAGAAGGTTCATGAAGACCTATACATCCCACTTTGTATGTGCAGAACCTGGCAGTGAAAGGTTGATAGAAATGACCAAATTCTGCTCTTGTTGTTTCCATAGCACAGCATCACTGGCAGAAACCCATGGGGTCAGAGCTTTCTTGGACTGGGAAGGAGTGGGAAGCCTCCAACCCAAAGCAAACAAGGCAAAAGAGATATTTTGGACTGGCTCTCAAAGGCACTTATGTTATCAGATGCATTTGGCAGCTAAGGGCCCTGTGACACAAAGCAAGCTCACCTCACTGCAAACCTCCTCCTCAACCAGTGCATAATTTGTGAGCCTTGCTCTGTTGTGGCTTAAACAAGGCGATAACTCAGAACCACACAGCCACTCCCTCATTCCCTCCCTCTCACATGGGTTGAGATAAGAACAGTCCAGTAACTAAGGTATAATGCAAAACTACTACTACCACCACCAATAATAATAATGATAAGGGAAATAACAAGGGGAGAGAATAGCTGTGGTATGGAATAACCCTTTGGCTACTTTGGGTCAGGTGTCCTGTGGTTCTGAGTTACTGGCTGGGCTTAAATCATGACAGCCTGCTTCCTCTTGGCTTCCCATGCCCCTCCTCACTGGCAGAGCATGAGACTGAAAAGTCCTTGATCGGAGTAAACATTACTTAGCAACAACTAAAAACATCAGTGTGTTATCAGCATTGTTCTCAGGCTAAAGTTGAACACAGCACTGCACCAGCTACTAAGAAGGAGAAAAATGACTGCTACAGCTGAACCCAGGACATGCTCACACCCTGCTCTGCCAAACACAGACTGCTGCCCTCCCTGCCATACATCTGCTGTGGTAAAACACCTCTGTCTCACACAGCAGTACTCACAGAGCTTCACCTTTCAACACAGGAAAAAGACCTTCCCCATTTTATAGCCACCCATTAGGAACAGACTTGCCTAAACTCATAAAACTGGCAAGCAGTGTGCTCACATGATAATTACTACTATTAACAATAATTAATAAGATTGACAGGAATTTTACTTTAGAAGGATTTAATTCAGGGACCTTACAATATCTCATAAACAAGAAACAAGCAAGTTTTCACACAAATAACTGCAGCTGCACTATACTGGCTTCTACATACTGCATTCTAGAAATAAAGGCAAAAATATACATTCCACTTGCCCTCCAGAAGAGTGTGCTAAATGACATCACTGAACACGGTCAAACACCAAACTCTGCAAGTGCCCAGGCATCATGTGAATACTGAAATCAAGAGGGTAGTGTTGGCAGTTACAGCCAGGGAGATACAAAGCATTGGTATCTCCCAGCCCCAGGGCAGCCCTGCAGCTGGGTGGATGCAACACCTCAACATTAGGGTACCTGCCCCGAGCTCAATGTACTAGATAAGGCAGTTTCACCTCCCAATTCATACCATAGAATAATAGAATGGTTTGGGTTGGAAGGGACCTTAAAGCTCATCTAGTTCCAACCCCCTGCCATGGGCAGGGACACCTTCCACTAGACCAGGTGGCTCCAAACTCCATCCAACCTGGCCTTGAACACTGCCAGGGATGGGGCAGCCACAGCTTCTCTGGGCAACCTGTGCCAGTGCCTCACCACTCTCACAGGGAAGAACTTCTGTTTAATATCTAATCTAAATCTTCCCTCTGTCAGTTTAAAACTATTCCCCCCTTGTCCTGTACATGCCCTTGTAAAAAGTACCTCTGCAGATTTCTTGTTGGCCCCTTTAGTATTGGATGACTGTTATAAGGTCTCCCTGGAGCCTTCTCTTCTCCAGGCTGAACAAGCCCAGCTCTCTCAGACTGTTTTCATAGCAGAGGCGCTCCAGCCCTTGGAGCATCTTCATGGCCCACCTGGAGCAACTCAGGGGCCTGCACAACACCAGCCTCTTCCCTGTAGCCATACCATATTATTCTCAATCGGGCAGATTACAAAATAAAAACCCCTAATGCTGCTTTAGCCAGCTGAGTCAAGCACCTGGCCAGCTAGACAAGTAATACCATTCTGCCCACTGGTCCACAGAACCTGCTGCCTGGCCTTCCTTTGAACGGTTGAGTGTTAGCCAAGCCTGGGTTACTATTTGCTTTTGTAATACTGAAACAAAAAAGTCAATAATTTCTGACAAAACTTGATGCAACTCACCGATAGCTCATTATAATAATAATGAGCAGTTACAACGAATAGTCTAGCACAGAGTCCCAACAAGTATGAGGTTTCACACACACACACTGTACTTCTCCCGCTG